ATATGGAGTTCTCTTATGTGGAGTATTGTTAACATTTAGTGTTTTGTGAGAAAAACTAAGAAAGTGTTTAAACTAAAGAGATTTTAAGTGCATGCATTGTATGCTGCTCAAGTAACTGTATTCATTTGAGTTTCCCAAACTATATGCAGAAATTCATATATCTTCTCTATAGGGTACCAAGAATAACATAACATATATTAAAATAATCACAGAGTTTTCTGTGTGAATTTTTGTATAAGTAATTGAAATAAAGTTGGTATATAAAATATTAAACCTTCAGATTATACCAGGATAATACAATTTCCTAAATGTGCAAATGCAAATTAATGTGATGCAGTTGCGTGTGCCAACCTAACATAGACTATGTAATATAAATAGACTATCTTCCAAGAATTTGATTTTAATTAAAAGTAGGGAGTATAGTACCAGGTATTTGATCTTCCAGTATTTTCTGACATATATAAATGCTATACTATTTTGCCATTGAATCTCCCTTAGATATTGGATAACAAAGTAGTTGGGGACCAGATCACATTACATGTTTCTGATCAAATGTGATTCCTTATCAGTCTTACAGTTTCTTTTTTGTAGGCTATGGCTCTTTTTTTTCCCCAGTTATTTTCAGGATTTCTTTTATCTTATACTTTCATCAGTTTTGCTATGCTGTGCCAGTGAGTGGGGTTTTTTATATTTTTCCTACTTGAGTGCTTCTAGGGGCTCTTGAATCTTTGCCTTGATGTCATTGCTCAGTTTTGGAAAATTCCAGGCAATTATCTCTTTATCTGTTTTTTCCTTCCCTGTTCTTTCTCCTCTCTCCTGGGACTATAATTACATGAATAATAGACCATTTTGCTATGCCTCTTATTCTCTCTCTCTCTGCTTTATTTGTGGATATTTTCTACTGACTAATCTTATCTCTTATTTACTTATCCCTCACCCCCTTTTTTTTGAGCTGTGGATAATCTGTTAAATACACCCTCATTTTGGTTATTTTATTGCTTAATTCTAAGTTTTTCTAAATGTAATTCTAAATTTGATACACTTTATAGTGTCCACTTAATACCTAGGTTTTTCATTTTGTTTTTTTTATCTTAAAAATATTTTTAAATGGCTATTTTGACCTGTGTTAACTCCAACATCTACATCTCCTGTAAATCTGCTCTTTGGCAGTTTTTTGTTTTTGGTGTTTGTCTTCTGGCATGCTTAGTAATTTTTGATGGAATGCTAGACATTGAAATCTGAAATATTTTAAATATAATTTGAAGCTCTGGATTTTTTTTTTTTTCTTTCTCCAGTAACTTACTTTTACTTTTGGCTTAGGGCTATTAGAGGCAGTTTATCTTAATCCAGTTAGGGATTCAGCTGATTCCAGGCTAGGTTTTAGTCTTTTTAAGGGCTGGTTTATGTTGTTCATTCTTATTCCTCAGGTGTAATCTTTTAGAGGTTCCAACAGAAAGCCTTGGTGTTTATTATCTTGATGGGCCCTGGACTAATATTTATCTGCTCAGCACCACGAGACAGTGGAAAGCTTTGATTAAATACATCATCTCCAGTCAGGAAGTTAGGAAGTTCCATTCAACAAGCTTCTTCAGGTGCCCCACCAGCAGCTTCTATTTTTAAGTCTCATTGGCCAGAACTGTATCATATGACTGTCATTATCCACTATCTCTGGCTTCAAGGGATATGTTTTGCTGAACTCATAACTGCCTTTCCAGAAAACAAACAAACAACAACAAAAAACTTGTTTTGCTACAATCCAAATATACAAAATGATGACAGATGTAAAGTAAAACTGAACTTTTCTGTGACTGTATTAAGGAATACCAAGTAAATTTTTAAAAATCTTCACAGATTTAGGTTTCTGACACTGAAAAGTAGCTTCAAGTAATTTAAAAAACATTTTCATTTTCCTTTACTAAAAAGTAACACATATTGGTAGTAGTAACTTAAAAAATCTAGAGATGAACATTTTTTTAAAAAAATCTGAAATCTTACCAATAAAAGGTAACTTCTGTCAATGTTTTAGTAGATGGACTTGTAGTAATTTTATATAGTGGTATATGTACAGTAGAGTTTATTTTTATAAGTTAATCTTATACATCCCATTTTGCAACTTACTTTTTTTTACTAAGTACCATGTACATGTAAAAGTATACAGTGAGATAGTGTTTTACAGTTTAGAAATTATAATGTCCTTAATTTAACTCATAATGCTTTTTAATTTTAGTGTTCTACACTAGTAGTATGTGTCTTGTGTCTCCTGTTCTATACCCATTCTTTTCTTGACCAGGTTAATACACAATTCTATTATTGTTGACTAAGGCCAAGGGAATGTCATGTTTAACAGCCAGTGGAGTAATGAGCGTGTTTGGTAGGCTCTGACTCAATGATGATGATTCCTGGTAGCCTTGACTTGATAGAGTGCTATGATTTTTAGTTGTGAATGAAAATATTGTACTTTTTCTCTATTTCATTTTGACAGTTTTTGTTGTCTTAGAGAGCCTAGACATTTCTTGAGAGACAGTTGGGAGTGCCTTTTTAGCATACAGTTTCTACCATACAATACACACATGTTAAAATAGTAAAACTGCTTTGAGATGCAAATGTTGGTACAGTTGGCTAGGTTCACTAAGTGACATACATGCTGGTGTGACAACACACATGATTAAAAATTCTATTTGAGTAATACTGCAAATTATTACAGATTATGGACCTCTTCAAAGTCACTCGTAAATAGCAGGGGTTGAGAATATTAAATGTAGGACTAACAAAAGATGTATTTTATAAATCATATATGATGTTATAAATATTTATACCTAGATTTTTAATGGAAGGTTGGTTTAATTTAATTCTAAATCCATCTAACTGCTAATTTTACTCCCACTGGTGCCTTTCTTTAGAGCTTAGCTTTCTCATGCAGACTTTTGTGTTGAGACCCACTGATATTTATTGCTCTTTACTTACTATCTAACTCTGAGTTTTGTGTGTAGTGGATCTCAGATTCACTCTTGTGTAACAAAACCCTTTAAAATAGTGAGGTTAATTCAGGTTAGATTTCTGTAAAAGGATATTGGAAAGGGATTATTCCAAAAAGCAACAGTGAGTAGATAATGAACTTTCTTGCCTCTAATGAAATTACTTACATCATCAACCCCTAAGCGGCATAACCCCTGCAACTCCAGGTGGCACCGTGAGAATTTGTCTTGTCAGCTGGGTGGAGGTAATCCAGCACTGGATTCTTAACTAGTTCAGAATTGCTCATAAGAAGTTTAGAATTGCTCATCACTGGTGAGAGAGTAGAAATACCAAGTTTTGGATTGTATTATTCCTAAACCTTTGTTTCTTAAGAAGTTGATAGTTTGCTTTAAATTTATATTACTGAATTTTTAAAAAATCTATATCAATGGCTATTTAAGAAAGTATACCTTTGTTTTCAGCATCCTATTTTTTCATTAGTGATCTAGGGCATATATTGCTATCCTTTGTTTATTATCTCCCCAACTAGATTGTGAGCGTTTTATAAGCAGCAACTGTGTGTTATACATCTATAAATTCCTACCCACTCCTACAGTGCCTCCTAAAATATAGTAGATATTTCATAAATCTATTATTTAAGAAAAGTAAGTATTGACAAATTGCATTACTAGTTTTAACTTAGTTTTACTTTTTTAGAATTGTATGATTTCTCTGTCTTTTAATGATCGTGCCTGTGTCCTTATTGATAGTTTGTCTTTTCTGGGAAAAGCATTCTACATATTATAATTAGTTTTTATTTCAGAATTTCCTTAAATACGAGTGTTATCTTTCTTTGTAATCCATGATATTTGAGATCCATAAATATTGGGTTGGCCAAAAAGTTCGTTTATTCTTTCACCTTAGATGGCACTAGTAGTATTTAGTTGTCTTTAACTTTATTCAAAACCACTTTGTTAGATTGTTTCGTGACAGCTGTCCTAATCAGCATGCACTTAAAAACACTTATCAAAATTGGTGAATTTTCATGTAGCCATTTAAATCTTGTAGATGGAAAGAAATATGAATCATTTTCAGCATATTATGCTTTATTATTTCAAGAAAGGTAAAAATGAAACAGAAAGATTGTGCAGTGTATGGTGAGGGTGCCGTGACTGATAGAAAGTGTCAAAAGTGGTTTGTGAAGTTTTGTGCAGGAGATTTCTTGCTGGACTATGTTCCATGGTCAGGTAGACCAGTTGAAGTTTATAGCAATCAAATCAAGACATTAATTGAGAATAATCAACATTCAACCATGCAAGAGATAGCTGACATACTCAAAATATCCAAATCAATCAAGTTATAGGTGCAAATGAAAACTGTGTCTTTTATTTTATGGAAAAAATGTAATGGACTTTTTGGCCAACCCAATATTGGTTGAACTGGGCTTAAAGTTCTTAGATTTGAATACCATGTTTGATATAAGCATTTGACTGCTTCTTTCAGATTTTGATTTACATTTTTGGTTATTAGTCATTTAACAGGTACTTAATGTGGGCAAAGCCATGTGCTAGTAGGGATCACTAGTATTTAGGTAGCACATAATGAAATATTGTGAATACCATTTGAAAAAGTATATACTTTTAATTAACATTTTTGTCAACAAAATAGACTACTCAGTTTATATTATTTTGTCATTATAGGGTAAAGTTCACCTTGAATTAAAACTGAATGAACTGATAACAGAGAATGGAACTGTATGCCAGCAGCTTGTTGTACAGTAAGTGTATTTCTTTTATCAAAATCAACTGAAAATAATTCACCATTTTACATTCTTTGAATCTTAAGCCAGCTCCTTATTTTAAATACTTCAGAAACTATTCAGAAATGAAACTGCTAATGCCATTTTTTTGTGGGGGGGATCTCATGTGTTTTTATTAGAATTGTGTACAGTTGTAATCCTTCCATCATACATATCATACACAGTAATATTCAAGTGTCTGATACTAAAATAACTTACTGAAAAATCCTAATATTGGATTCAGAATAATACTATCTCTATTAACAATAAAAAACAAAACAACTGAGTTTCTCCTGGAAAATTTAAATTCAGGCTATTATTTTATAATTTGGAAATCTGAGTAATCCAAATTTAAGATGACTTTCTCATTGTTGAAGTTTGCTCTGTTGATGTGCGATTTGGGACTTCCTCTTTTCTCACGCCATTCCTGCATATGACGCACTTTGGAGATGGGACCTTGCAATTGTCCTTGCAGTGTACTCTGGTCAGTGTTCTGGACCCATCCTACCAATCCCAGCTTTTTACCCTCAGCCTGAGTGTACTTGCAGAAAAACACCCCTTGCACTTTCCCCAAAATTTCATAATCCACTGATATCAGGGTGTCCCCTTCTGCCATGTTCCTGCTCAAATATTTAAGGCTACTCAAACTGATGGGCATGCCGCGGGCCTGGTCCCAGGCTCACCTTTCTGGTCCTCCTCTCATGCCATTTCTTTATTAAGTTGATCTCTAATTTATTTTGTTACATCGAGTTTATTCAGGTTATGGTAAGTCATTAATTAATTCAACCAAAATTTATTATCGAATGTGGGTTAAATGATAGGTATAGGCAATATGGTGTTATAGGATCACAGATAAGTGTGTCTAACTTTCTGGCAGGAGGGAGGTGGAAAGGCTTCCTGGTAGAGGGCCTCTAGGACCTTGGACACCATAGAGCAGAGCATTAGGGACCTTGGGACTAAAATTGAATGCCTACCTTGAGATAACCAGTGTTGATTTCTCACCTACTTTGAATTCTTTTTTTCCTCTTTTGCCTTAAAGTCATTTTTTTTTTTTTTCACCCAGACTCTAACCTTCTGACTGTTCTGGAAATCTGTTCTAGCCCAATCCCTTACCCTTTCCTTCCCACCCAAATCCTTCCTCTGTGTTATTAACAGACTACCCAATATCCCTGACTTCTGAATGTTTTCTCTATCTTTGTCATAACTAATATCTGACACCCTTTGAGATAGTGTTTCCTCTACTGCTTCCTCAATCAGAGTCTGTTTTAAAAAATACTACATATCTGATAGAGCCAGGGAGTAGGATAAATGTCAGTTTCCTGTTGCTGCTCCAGGCTATAATTTATCCTGTTAATTATGAACACCCCAGCTCCTTTGAGGCATCCTCTCTCTCTATAAATATATATTTGTATTTATTTTTTAATGTAAATCATGTTTATTCTATTATGGTTGTCTCAATTTTTCCCCATTTGCCCTCTTCCACCCATCCCACAGGCAATTCCCACACTGTTTTCCATGTCCATGGGTCATTCATACATGTTCTTTGTCTAGTCCCTTTCCCTTCTTTCCACCATTGTCCTTCTTCCCCATCCCCTCTGGTCACTTTCAGTCTGCTCTATGTTTCCATGCCTGTAGTTTATTTTGTTCGTTAGTTTATTTTGTTGAGTAGACTACACTTATAGGTCAGATCATATGGTATTTGTCTTTCAGCGACTGACTTATATCATTTAACATAATATTCTCCAGTTCCATCCATGTTGTCACAAAAGGTAGAAGTTCTTTCTTTCTTTCTTTTTTTTAATGCAGATTTTATTTATTTACTTAAATGTCAAAATTCATTATAAAATATTTAGAAAATTAAATCCATTATAAAGTCTCAGCAATTAAAACAACATGACACCAGCACAGAAATAATCAAGTAGATCAGTGAAATAAAATGAACATTCTAGAAACAAACATATATATCTAACAATTTAATATATGATTAAACTAATATTTCAAATCAATGGGGAAAATAAAGCTTATTCAACAAATTAAGTGCATGGACCTCTATTACTTGAAATATAACAAGTATAGAGCCCTGTTTCAGACATTATACAAAAAATATTCAGGTGAGTTAAAAATATGTAAAATCTAACGAATTTTAGGAGAAAACACAATATAGAATTTTTCTTCCCATGAAGTAAAATATTCAAACCCAGAAGCTATAAAGTAAAATATTGACAATATGACTATATTAAACATATAAGACTACACAATAATATACATATAAAAACGTTAAAGGCAAGTAATAGAATATGAAAGGATTTGCAACACATCTAAAAAAGGTTAAATTTTTTTTTTTTTTTTTTTTTTTAGGGAAAAATTTCTACAAGTATTTAATTTAAAAAATCGATAAAGAATACCAAAAAGTCATTTAAAGCTTTTTAAAGATAATAGAAATAGGCAAGAAATATACATAAACAGGTTTAGTTTCAACAAATAATAAAGTAACACTTAACACATTATTGTCACAATCAGATTAATAAGTATTAAAAATATTGGTAATATCAAGTATTGGTGACTATGAAAGGAACTGGGTATTCATAGACTCTTTTTCTTCATCTTCTTAAAGCAGTCCCTTTAGCATATCTTGCAATGCTGTTTTGGTGCAGGTGTATTCTTTAAGCGTTCTTTTGTCTGGGAAACTCCTTATTTCTCCTTCCATTTTAATAGAGAGTCTTGCTGGGTAGAGCAGTCTTGGTTGCAGGCCTTTGCTTTTCATTCCTTGGAATATTTCTTGCCATTCCCTTCTGGCTTGTAGTGTTTCTGTTGAGAAGTCAGCTGCTAGTTGTATCCGGGCTCCCTTGTATGTTACTACCTGTTTCACCCTTGCTGCCTTTAGGATTCTCTGTTTGTCTTTGATATTTGCCATTTTAATGATGATGTGTCTTGGAGTGGGCTTCATTGTGTTCCTCTTGAATGGGACCCTCTGTGCTTCCTGGACTTGTATGACTTTTTTCTCTCCTCAAATTAGGGAAGTTTTCCATCATTACTTTTTCAAACAGGTTCTCTATCCCTTGTTCCTCTTCTTCTCCTTCCGGTATCCTTGTTACATGGATGTTATTATGTTTCAGGTTGTCCTGCGTTTCTCTAAATGTCTCTTCATTTTTTCTAAGTTTTTTTTTCATTTTTTTGCTCTCTCTGGGGGCTTTTTTCTACCTTATCCTCCAGCTCGCTGATTCAGTTCTTGGCCTCATCTGGCCTGCTTTTGATTCTTTCTACTGTGCTCTCAATTCAGAAATTGTATTCTTCATTTCCTCTTGTCTATTATTGATAGTTGCTATGTCCTTTTCCATGCTGAGATAGTTTGCAGTCTAGTTTCCCTGTAGTTTTTTGTAATTCTCTCTGAGCTCATCGAGCTTCCTTAGAACCATTGTTTGGAACTCAGTATCTGATAGTTTACTTGTCTTTATTTCACTTAGTTTTCTTTGCAGGGATTCCTCCTTTCTCTTCAATTGGGGGAGTGTTTCTTTGTCTTCCCATTATCTGTGAGACTCTTCTTTTTTGCTTCTTCTTAAATTGATCTGTCTTGATTTCCTGACTTTGTGGTGTGAGCTTCTGTGATAGGAGACCACTGTTTTTTCTTTCTGGATCTGCCTCTGATGATGTCAAGATGTTGACCCTGTCTGACCTTAAGCAGTGTGTTTGAGACTTCCAGGAATCTACTGTCTGTAGCTGTCTCCTTCAGCTGTTAATCTTGTGACTCTGCACTCAGCAGTCAGACTTACGCACTACTGGGCCCATAGGGCAGAGCCCCTCCTGGGGGTGGGGTTATTGGGTCCTCTCAAGCTGCTGACACTCAGGGGAATGGTCTGTCTGAGGAAGATGGCTGCTGTCGTATGGGGGAGGAGTCAGCACCACGGTCCCACCAGCTACTCTCTCCATTCTCTGCCTCCAGTCTCTCCTCAAGGGTCTGTAGACCACTCTGTGCCCCCTTTAGCCAGGGATCTACTATATGTGGCTGCCACTCTGTACTCAGCTGTCAGGCTTTAGCACCACTTGTCCAGGGCAGGGTCCCTCCTGGGGGCGGGCCTGTTGAGTCTTCTCACGCTGTTGCCATTCAGGGGAGTGATCTGCCTGAACAAGATGGCTGCTGCTGTATAGGGGAAGAGTCAGCACCAGGATCCCACTGGCTGCTCTCTCAGTTCTCTCCCCAAAGCCTCCTTTCCCAGTCTCTCCTCAGGCATCTCTAGCCCACTCTGCCCTCCCCCTCTTTGCTGGAGATCAGGGTTAGTGGCTACAAATAAAAATTTATGCATTGGCCCTCTTAAAGGCTCTTTGTGTCTCCAGGCATCTGTCTCTGGCAGAGAGCAACCCTTCCGCTTTTTGCAACTGACTGTTATCTGTGTACTTTTTGGACTCTGGCGCTGTAGGCTGGAGATCCTCACTTCTGGTTTAGACCCCACTCTTCTCAGGGAGATTCTGGCCATTTCACTATCCCTCTGCCGCTGCAGCCCGTGGGTGCCCTGCCCACCTTCTCGAGTCTCTACCATGCCTTTTGCCAGTTAGGTTGTACTAATGTTGATTCTTCTGACTGTCCGAGGTTATAAGGCTCCTCTCTCACTATTGTTCAGTTGTTTGTTCCAGGTGATTTCTCCACAGTTTAGTTGTAATTCCAGATTGGTCCTGGGAGGAGGACAGTGTGATTTCCATTCACTCCTCCACCGTCTTGATTTTGCCTATTAATATATTTTAATCTATACTTTAAATACCATATATAATTTATTCAATTTTATTTCCTAAGAATAAAGATATTCTCTTAAATAACTGTAGTAGAGATACCAAACTCAAGGAATTAACATTGTTAAAGTAAAAGTATAATCTATAGTTACTATTTTGAGTACATTAATCTACAGTTACTATAGTTTACTTTTGTCAGCTGTCCTGGTAATGTCTTTTAGGACATTTTGTTTCTCTCCACGGAAGAGTTTAGTTCAAGAACACATATTGCATTTAGTTGTCAGGTCTCCTTAACCTCCTTAACCTATGCTCATTTTTAGCTTTTTCTGTCTTTCATGATACTAAGATTTTTGAAGAATACAGAGCAGTTACTTTTCAATTTGGATTTACCTACTAAAAACAGTTAAAGGTGTGTTTGCAGGTTCCCTCCCTCCCTCCAGAATGGAAGCATATAATGAAAATATTTGGATTAGTCCCTTTTCCAGTACTCCCTCCTTTGCTCAGTTTGGTTATGTTATACATTTGAAACACAACTATCTGGGTTGGTTTGGTTTGTTTGCCTTCAGTTTAATGTTTCCCCCATCCTTGTTGGTTTACTTTTATTTTTTGAATATGTAGAATATTATTAGCATGACTTCAAAAGTCCAAACTATACCAAAAAGCATTATTCATAAATGCATTCAGTCCCTGCTCCCTATACCCTGATTTCTATCCCCATAGTTTTGCTTTTTCCAAAATGTCATTTGAACAGATTTATATAATATATAGTCTTTTGTGTCTGGCTGCTTTCACTAATTAACATAATGTTTTTGAAATTCATCTACATTGTTGCATATATCAGTAGCTTATCCTTTTTTAGGCATTTTCTGTTGTTCTTTTTTTTCTTGTCATAACTTGATAGATACTGTTGTGCATCACTTTAT